ATTCCAGGCCACAAGCACAAATAATTAGACCCAATCCATTAATTAAAGCTATTTGCCAAAAGACTTTGAACGTACTGTAAACTGTAACTGCATCTAGCAATTGTAGTAATTTATCCCACCCAAACTCACCAATACATCCTTTTACTTCATTAGACACTATGAGCAGTTAAAGCATGACTAACTCTTGAAAGAATAATTTTTGTTCCGTCCAGTAAATAAATATTTATCTTTTAATAAATGCTGCAGAAAAGCTGTCCTTTAGGAAAATCCACAGGGCAGTCCAAATTGTGCATAATGCAAATAAATTCTTAAGTGTTTTCATTTAAGCTGCTGAAATATTATTACATATGCAACACTATGAAATCACAGTTGCCTGTTCTTTAGCTGGTGGTGGCCTTCATACAAACTGTTGTTTTTTTCCAAAAAAATGAAGATGTCACAATGTATTGGCATAGTATATGTGCAGATCCAAGCAATATGGCTTTTGCAATTGACAGATGGAGATTTTGTCAATGCACAGATTTTCTAAATTCCATCCAACATTTTTTATGTTAATGGAAGTTATTATTTTCTGGCATTATTAGCTGTCTGATAGCTTCATAACATAGCAGAATAGCGGAGTTGGAAGGGACCCTAAAGTTCTTCTAGTCCAGCCCCCTCTAAATCCGGACATCATTCTGGACAAAAGGCTGTCCAATCTCTTCTTAAAAACCTGCAGTGATAGAGCACCCACAACTTCTGAAGGCAAGATGTTCCAACTAATTAATAGTTCTCACTGCTAGAAAGTTTCTCCTTAGTTCTAGGTTGATTCTCTCCTTGATTAGTTTCCATCCATCGTTTCTTCTCTTATCTTCTGGTGTTTTGGGAATAAAAAGGTTTGCCCCCTCTTCTTTGTGGCACCCCCTCAAATATTTGAACATTGCTATCATGTCATCCCCACTCCTTCTTTTCATTAAACTAGACATATTCAATTCCAGCAACCATTCTTCACATATGTTTTAATCTCCAGCCCCCTAATCATTTTTGTTGCTCTTCTCTGCACTCTGTCCAGAGTCTCAACATCTTTTTTATATTGTGAGAACAAATATAATGAATACCTCATTTTAAAACTCCTGTGACTGAGGAAGGCTAAAAACCAGGGTTATGTCTCTCTGGGTTTTTCAGGAATCATAAATGTTTACAGCTGTTAATATTTTGTTTATGCTCCTTTTTTAAAAAACAAAATTCTGACAGTCAGTTATGCTTCTTTTACCAGAATTTGTACTTATTTCCAAATAGTATTTCAACTGGTTGAAATGTCTTTTTAACATTATTTTACTAAGATCTTTAACTTTGGTGTGCTTGGAAATTTTAAACCAAGGAATTTTTTTTAATTTTCATCTTTCACACTTTAAAAAAAGAAGCAAGAAATCTAAGGTTCTCCCTAGAAATTTATTGCAATTTTAGAACATACCATGAACTGAAGGATTTTTTTCAGGTTAACAGCTATTCTCAAATTAATTTTTGAAATAGTTTTTCTAGAAACTGCAACATTTATTTAAGAAGTGCTATATAAAAATAAATTTCATTGAATATGTGCTTATTTTTGAGTCAGGTGAATTCAATGAGTCTTCTGGTTTTCTACAGGTATGGCTGAGAGGTTTTTTTTGCCTTTCAATCTATTTTTTGAAAGAGGTTAATTTGAAAATAGATCAATTAAATCTGAAGACTGATTTGCTTTAAACAGAAGATTCCCCATAATTATGTTTTAATCTGGATTAGAACAGGATCCTCTCATCATTTCAAATAAAGTCAAAAATAGCAAGATAAGGCAAGACAAGACACAATAGATGGAAACTAATCAAGGAGAGAAGCAACCTAGAACTAAGGAGAAACATCCTAACAGTAAGAACAACTAACCAGTGGAATGGCTTGCCTTCAGAAATGGTGGGTACTCCAACATTGGATGCTTTTAAGAAGAGACTGGACAGCCACTTGTCTGGAATGGTACCGTGTCTCCTGCTTGAGTAGGGAGTTGGACTAGAAGATCTCCAAGGTCCCTTCCAACTCTGTTATTTTGTTATTTATGTTGAAATTGTCCTTCCTTCAACTATGAAGTAATAAAACTCTAAGAGCAAATTGCTCATAAAATATTTCCAGCATGCTTTTTCATTTCATATTCCATTCTTGTTCTGCATGGAGAAATCTTTCTAATGTTAATAGGAGTTTTATGCACTAAAACCTAGAGAAAAATATGCACTGGAGAATTCTCCTTAGCAGAAATGGGAAATGTTTTGAGAATATTTAATTAACAAAATTCCACTATTTGTAAATATTAATTAAAACCATTCAAATTAAATACTTCTCATAATTCAGAATATTTTGATAGAAACAACCTATAAACAGGAATGTTTTTACTTTGGGACGTTTTGATTAAAAATCTGAGCCAAGTAAATATTTCAGCTCACTATTCTTCTTTCTATTGTTATGAATGGAAACTGTATGTATGGAGAGCTGGTTTCTTTTCTTTGCATAAAAAAAAAATAGTATCAGAAATAAAACTGTACTGAATCTTATCAATCATCGGTCAAAAGTAGTCCTGTAAGCATGGAAGACAACAAAGTATGCATAATTTGGAACAACAGTAGTCTCTACTTCCTGCTTATAAGACATTGACTGGGAGGAGAAAAAAACTCTGGAGAAAAATGGAACTTTGAGCGATCCAGTAGGTGCTCTCCTGATGCTTTCATATACAAGCTAAAATCATATACTGTAGAAATATAGTTATTTACTAAAATCAGGATACATTGATAGGAGGGCTAAATGATGAAAAATATAAATCAGAACAAAGTTTCTAACCTTCCCATTAATAATAAT